GGGGACTACCTTTACCTTTTAAGCCATACAGTGCGGATGACAAGACTCCTCAGCTGGGATCTTGCACTAAAGATGGGACACCGGGCCCCTTTCCCAATGCCCGCCTGCCTGCCTTCAGTGGGAGAGGGAGTTGAAGGTCATAAGCAACCCATATCCTTGAAACCTCCCCCTCCTTCACTTTACAGGTGGAGTGTCCTGACCTACGAAGCCCCCAAACAGTCCCCGCCAGCCATCAAAGAAGAGGAGAACGAGGACTCCAACATGCAGGTGCAGATCACCCACAAAAGCCAGTTAATTCGGGGAGAGGAGGGGTTTCCGGAGAGCCAAGATCTCATCTTCCCTGCTCTAGAGCAATATCTCTTCTTCCTGTCATTCTGCATTACTGCACTTTCTTCTCTTTCTAGGCTCACATTTCCCAATATGCCGATTCAGTGGCCCTCCATTTGGCCAAGATTTTGGAGTCGGACAAACACTCGGTGGTGATTTCTTCTGCAAAGTAAGAGGCACTGCTTTGACTTGGTTCATCCTTTAACTCTTTATGTATGTATGTATGTATGTATGTATGTATTTATTTATCGTGTCAGGAGCGAACCAAAACAGTTGTATTGCATTAAAAAAACAAACAAACAAAACACAAAGTTTGCAGACTTGGTATTCTATTAAATGTCCTTTGACCAGTATCTGGCCACTTGGAGTGCCTCTGGTGTTGCTGCAAGAAGGTCCTCCATTGTGCATGTGGCAGGGCTCAGGTTGCATTGCAGTAGGTGGTCTGTGGTTTGCTCTTCTCCACACTCATGTCATGGATTCCACTTTGTAGCCCCATTTCTTAAGGTTGGCTCTGTATCTCGTGGTGCCAGAGTCTGTTCAGCGCCTTCCAAGTCGCCCAGTTTTCTGTGTGCCCAGAAGGGAGTCTCTTATTTGGTACCAGCCATTGATTGAGGTTCTGGGTTTGAGCCTGCCACTTTTGGACTCTCGCTTGCTGAGGTGTGTCTCTGTAAATCTTAGAAAACTATTTCTTGATTTAAGTCGTTGACGTGCTGGCTGATACCCAAACAAGGAATGGGCTGGAGATGTCTCTGCCTTGGTCCTTTCACTATTGGCTGCTACTTCCTGGTGGATGTCAGGTGGTGCAATACTGGCTAAACAGTGTAATTTCTCCAGTGGTGTAGGGCGCAGACACCCCGTGATAATGCGGCATGTCTCATTAAGAGCCACATCCACTGTTTTAGTGTGGTGAGATGTGTTCCACACTGGGCATGCGTACTCAGCAGCAGAGTAGCATAGCGCAAGGGCAGATGTCTTCACTGTATCTGAAGACCAGAAGTGACTTGCTTTAACTCTTATCCTACCTTTCTCCCAACATGAGATCCAGGGCAACCCAAGACCTGATAATACAGACGTTGAGAACAAACAATTAATTTAATTATTTATCAAAACACAGATAACTTAAAACAGTACAAGCGTGTCTTAAAAGCAAAGCAACAAATATGAAAAGACAGCACACAGATCCCATTTTTAAGAAAGTGCTTGGTTTAGGTACAAAGGTCTTTACCAGAGAGCAAAAGTGTCGCCATAGCTTTGCGTGAGAGGGTTTCCATGTCATTCCAGCACAGTATGCTTGGAAGCGTGGGCTTCATTTGAGGGGAGCGATTCATTTATTTGGGCTTCAAGGAGGTTGTATGCTAAATATGGCTTCAGTCTGTTGGGGCGAGTGGGCTTGTTAACAAAAGACCCTCCCCATAAATGTGCAGCAGAGTAACTTATTAGCAGCAGTATAACCCAGCACCAGTAGCCCAAAGTGATAAAAACAAGAAAACACAAAGACCAATGTTGTCTCTTCCTTAGGAGGCTTTTCTTTATAGCAAAATAATATGGTTGCACTATTTACAAGAACAAGGTTTCTATAACACAAATGAAGTTCTTTATACTTCCTTCTTTGCTTCCACGCTGGGCTTCTTTCTCATGCTTTCTCTCACTGAGCTTCCTCTCACACTGAACTTACACAGGAACTTCACACAGTAGTATTTTACACACAGCAGCCTTCACACTGGAGCTTTACACACAAGGCCTTCAATCTGGGGCTTCTCTCACCAAAGCTTCTCTCACCAGGACTTCTCACACTGAGGTCTACCTCACAATGAGGCGTACTAACACTGAAGAAGTGACAGACTTTGTAATTCTGGGTGCAAAGATTACTGCAGATGCAGACTGCAGCCAGGAAATCAGGAGATGCTTACTTCTTGGGAGGAGAACAATGACCAATCTTGATAAAATAGTGAAGAGTAGAGACATCACACTGGCAATGAAGATCCACATAGTTAAAGCAATGGTACTCGCCATAGTCACCTACGGATGTGAGAGCTGGACCATAGGGAAGGCTGAGCGAAGGAAGATAGATGCTTTTGAACTGTGGTGGTGGAGGAAAGTTCTGACAGTGCCTTGGACTGTGAGAAGATCCAATCCAGTCCATACTTCAGGAAATAAAGCGAAATGCTATTGGAGGGAAGGATAGTAGAGGCAAAGTTGAAGTCCTTTGGCCACATCATGAGGAGACAGCAAAGCCTAGAGAAGACAATCATGCTGCGGAAAGTGGAAGGCAAAAGGAAGAGAGGGCGACCAAGGGCAAGATGGATGGATGGCATCCTTGAAGTGACTGGACTGACCTTGAAGGAGGTGGGGGTGGTGACAGCCAACAGGGAGCTCTGGCGTGGGCTGGTCCATGAGGTCACAAAGAGTCGGAGACGACTGAACGAATGAACAACAATGCATGAAAACAAAACAAAACAAAAAAACAGCAATAGTAAAAACAATTATTAAAATCACGTTATCCAGTGTGGCCTACTCACACTGATGTACTAAGCAACAGGCACACCTGCTTATATTGAATTGCAGCTTTGGCTGAGTCATTGCATCCCTATAACCCTTTCAGTGCTTGACTCACATTTTTGTAAATAGAAATACCTAGTTAATTTTTAATATTTCTGACAGTCGTCCTCCTTTCATAGGTTCCTCTGTGGGACGGTTAATGACTTTGTGGCCGACGTCGGCAAAGCATACGAGCGGACGGCTGACAGCAAGCAAGAGGCGGACACCATGGCGCGGAAGGCATGTTTGGGCACATCAGGGATGGGATTTGCATGTTGGGTGCCACCAGGGTCTGTGGATTGAATGCCAAGACTGCTGGGATGGCCTTCCCTGAGAGAGAGTTGCATCCAAGTCTTTTCTGTATCCTTTCCCCCCCACCCAGTGTGCCATGCTCAATGAGAAACTGGACTCTCTGGTCCGGGAGCTGAATGAAGAGTCCCAGGCCTCTGTGCTCCCCAAAAGCGCCCCTCCGCCCTCCGCCCTGCCCAGCCCAGATGCAACAGACAATGGCGGCAAGGAGGGCCCCTTCCACCCAAGCCCTGTGCCCAGGATCTTCAAGTCCAAGGAGCAGCTCATGCTCAGAGCCAACAGCCTCAAGAAGGCCCTACGGCAGATCATTGAACAGGCAGAGAAAGGTGAGAGGGACATTATGGGGCAGCGAGCAGCTTGGACTACAACTCCCAGAATCCCCACTTCTAGGATGGCCAACTCTGGGAGCTGTGGTCCCCAAGAAGCATGAGTCCATTTAGCAAAGCTATTTGGCATCAGTTTGGCAGGAAACCAGGCTCTATGCAAGGCAGGGGGTGCAGGGCATTGGTTTGGGAGCCCCTCCCCAAAAAAGGCTTCAGAGGGGCAAATATGGGGGGACTTGATGATAGGTAGGGACTGCAACATAGGAGGGACACTCTCCTCTGTCAGCCCCATTGCTAAAGCACGCCAAAGAGAGGCCCACCTGGTGCCTGCCTTGTTTCATTCTGCAAAAGTCCTCCTATTTGGCCAGGCTGTGAATGCCTCAAAATACAGGTAAGCTGTTTATGGGGCTTTGAATTATAAATTATAAGTTTTAGCCTGGGGAGAGTTCTGTCCCTTTTCTGTGAACTACTGCAATGCACTGCAGAGCATGGGCTTCTTTAAAAGCTAAACCCGCCTTCTCCTGTGCCCTCCTCCTCCTCCTCTATAGCTGTGGATGAGCAGAACAAGCAAACCCAAGCTTATCGGAGCATCTCTGCAGCTGGCAAGAAGGACAGCAACGAGGATTTCAACAAAGAGACAGAGAAACTCAGTAAGATCCTCAGACTTGATGTTTGTTTGTGAGGAAGCAGGTAAAGGTGTCCATACCTTCCTTTGCAAGAAGGACCAGCGGCTTTAAATGGGGTTTAGACAAATGTGGAGAGCTTTTGGATGGCTTCAACAAGGTGCTGAATATATTTGGGTGCCAAGGTTCAGTGCCTTGGAGAGCTCTGACAAAATCTAAGTTGAGATCTGAAGTTTAGGCCAGGAGGTTTAGCACAGCTGATAAATCATCAGCAATTATAAGATCTGTCAACCAAAAGGTTGCAAGTTTAAAGCCTCAAGTTGGCGTGAGCTGCCAACTGTCAGCTTAGCTCATTGTTTACCTAAGCAGTTCGAAAACAGCTTTAGCTATGATTAGAGAAATCGCTAAAAAAAGCGGGGAGGTGTTTTACGACGCCATAAAGAAAGAAGATCAGAAAATGCTGGGCGAACAAAAGGAAGGAGGAAGTCCTGACGGCTCTTCCAATCAGGATAAAGCAACAGCACTCCCTGGACTCAAGCCCAACCTTCCATGGCACCAAAAACAGCTGAAACAAACAGCTGAAACAAACTCCTTCTGTTCTGTTCTCTCTGTCTGTGTATTGTCTATAAAAGAGGCAATGGATGTTTGCTGTGTATATGTGCTGTGATCCGCCCTGAGTCCCCTTTGGGGTGAGAAGGGCGGAATATAAATAAATAAAGTATTATTATTATTATTATTATTATTATTATTGTTATTATTAAGTAAATGTACATCCCTCTGAAATGGGAAAAGCTAGGCACCCTGAACCACAGTGGCTGTCTGCCTGCGTGCCTGCCTGTCTGTTTGTCTGTCTTTCCATCCACCCATCCATCTACCATCTATTCCCTCTGAGGCAATATGGTAATATATAGCAGTTGCTGGTGGTCCTGAGAGGGATAACTAATAATCTTCTTGTTGGGTTTTATCCCTGGACTACACAAGTCTCTTGTGTCATCAAGTTTCCAGACCTCAGTGAGTAGCTAGACTAGAGATAGGATTAGGCTGAGGGATTCCTCCCCCGACATTCCTATGCATGTTTTCCCAGAAAGGGCTTTGTCTTTACTCTTCCTCCCAGCCACCGTCCTCCCCCTTTGATGATGTAGCAATGGATTCTCTGTGAGGGAACTTCCTTTTTAAAGGTATTTTTGTTGCCATGTGGCCACTCCCCACCATTGTCTCTTCTGCCTTTTCTTCCTTCCAATGAGGATGCATTTTGCCTCTTTCTTTAGGCAAAATGTAGCTGCATGGATTTTTTACTTTTTACCATTTTACTTCTTTAGAAGATGAGACTTAGTTAGTCAGTCCAAGACCTTTTCTAGCTAGAATGTATTTCTTTTACTTCAAGAAATATGTTTGAACCTGAAGTTCTGACTCTGCAATACAGTGCCATCTTAAGGAATAGAAGCTTATCCCCCTACATTGTATGTTAGTTTCCGCTGGTAATAAAGTTTACTTCTAGTACTCTGCTATATTTATGGTTGAATCATCCCAATTGAGCCCCCGGTGGCGCAGTGGGTTAAACCCCTGTGCCAGCAGGACTGAAGACCGACAGGTCGCAGGTTCGAATCCAGGGAGAGGTGGATGAGCTCCCTCTATCAGCTCCAGCTCCTCATGCGGGGACATGAGAGAAGCCTCCCACAAGGATGACAAAACATCAAATCATCCGGGCGTCCCCTGGGCAACGTCCTTGCAGACGGCCAATTCTCTCACACCAGAAGCGACTTGCAGTTTCTCAGGTCGCTCCTGACACGACAAAGAAAAAAAACAACCAATGGAGGGCTATTTTGAGCCTAATAGCTCAGATTCCCAAACACTTCCTGTTTGGCATGTGGAATTCCCATTGAGAGGGCATTCTTCGCTTGGTCCCTGTGGAGGCTTTTAAGCAGAGGCTGGGTGGCCATCTGTTGGGGGTGCATTGATTGTGCTTTTCCTGCCTGGCAGAAGGGGGTTGGACTGGATGGCCCCTTGTGGTCTCCCACAACTCTATGATTCTATGATTATGGGTGATTATTGTGGAGATCCAGCATGACTCTACTGAGGGATGCTCTCTGCCTTTTCTTGCTCCAGAGTCCCGCCGGGACACGGTCATCTCCACCACGTCCTCCATCATCCTGGACAGACCAGAGAGCTTCAGCGCCGTCCATTTTGCAGAGGACCCCAGTGCCATGTGAGTGAGCAAACCATTGCTTCTGTCTCAGCTGTTTGGGAACCAGGAAAAGGGGGGGGGGGTGCTGCCTTGTGCAAAGACAGGAATGGCAAGAGAGAGAGGCAGAGAATGATGGTGTTCTTTTAGATGAGCTTAGCTGAAAGGCAAGAGTGGCTTGTCATCGCTATATGGCTCCCAGAGACCTGACAGTGAAGTACACAGATTTGTGCATGAGGGATAGTTGTATGTCTGGTAATGCATTAATGTACACAGAGTAGCCTATGGATGCACACTGGCTCAATGAGTTAGCATTGTACATGAATGAAAAGTAATGCCCCCATCAATTCAATGACTGCACGTTGCTTAAGTCACATTGACTGACCGTCTGCGCAGGGTTCCATACTTTGCACTTTAACAAAACAACCGTTCAATGCTAAGGCTCCCACCAAAATGAAACTGTAGAGGAGAGTCTACTGAACAAGCCAGTACCTGCCGCATACCAGTACTGTCCTCTGTTGAGGAGTTACGAAGGTGGAGGCATTACTTTTCATTCAACCCTCGTACATTGCAAGCACACAATGAATTGCCAACTACATGCCTTGAGCATTGCTCCATAGACGTTGTGCTGTATTGAAGTTCGGCATGTGTCATGCATAATTTATTATTATTTATTTATTTCGTGCATTTCTATACCGCCCTTCTCAGCCTTCCGGCAACTCGAGGCGGTTTACAAGGCAAGAATTCAATGCCACCAAGGACACAATTACAATATACAATATAAAAACATCAGCAACAATAAAATCAAACATTATAATGAACATACTTCAATCGATATTCATTAAAACAATGTCCAGTTCCGCCATATAGTTATTCCGTTATTATATTTGTTACTCTGTATTTTCAAATACCCGCTCAAAAAGCCATGTCTTAAGATTCTTTTGGAATGATAGGAGCAAGGAAACTGATCTAATCTCCCTAGGAAGGGCATTCCATAGCCGAGGGGCCACCACTGAGAAGGCCCTGTCTCTCGTTCCCGCCAACCGTACTTGTGATGATGGTGGGACCGAGAGCAGGGCCTCTCCAAATGATCTTAAAGTCCTCGCACAATGTCAATCCACAGAGCCAGTGGACGTCCACATGCTATTTTGTGTTCTTTAATGCATTACTAGACATATAACTGTCCCTGATGCATAGCTGTATTTACTCCATGCTCAGGTAGACATGACCATTAAGTGTAGTTCAAAGAAATTCAACTGAATTTTCCTGTGAAAAGGACCAGCGGCTTTGAATGGGGCTTTGAATGGGGTTTAGACAAATGTGGAGATACGTGTTTTGGATGGCTTCAACAAGGTGATGAATATATTTGGGTGCCAAGGTTCAGTGCCTTGAAGAACTCTGACAAAATCTAAGTTGAGATCTGAAGTTTAGCCCGGAGGTTTAGCACAGCTGATAAATCATCAGCAATTATAAGATCTGTCAACCAAAAGGTTGCAAGTTTAAAGCCTCAAGTTGGCGTGAGCTGCCAACTGTCAGCTTAGCTCATTGTTTACCTAAGCAGTTCGAAAACAGCTTTAGCTATGATTAGAGAAATTAGAAGGAATTGGACCAATGTCCCTTGTGATATGTTCCAACTGTGATTCTCGGCCATTCCTCACATGTAGCGCAACTTAGGCCCATGTGTGTCACTCACATGATGCAAAGCCATGGCACAGAACACAAGGTAGTATGACTATTAACTGCCTTGAGTCCCCTTGGGGAGGAAGGTGGGGTATAAATAAAGGAAATAAATACAATAATAAGTAATAGTCAGGATTAATGTGCCATGGTTACCCTCCATTGGGATTGGCTTTCGAGATGCATTGTCCCAAATAGTGGCGGTCTCCTCCCAGTAACCTTGAGATGCTTGGCACCTTCCCTCTGGCTCTGTCGCCGAGGACATGGAAGAGTAAGGATCCAGTCACTTGACTTTGGATCGCTTGGATGGCCTTCTTTGCATCCAGATAGATACTTCACTGTCCTGAAGCCCAAATTCCCCATTCTGTCTCTGCCTTCTTTCCACCCTAAATCCATTTTTGTAGTTTCTATGGCACCTAAGCAAAGGGAAGATGAAATCAGAAGGCAATGGGTGTTTTGTATTCCGAGCGCATTTTGCTGGTTCTGCTTCAGTGCTTGTTTCTGAGCGATTTCCCTTCCCCTCCGTCTGCCGGTTTCAGACAATTCTCTGAAAGATGCGTCATGAATAATTATTTTGGCATCGGCCTGGACGCAAAGATCTCCCTGGAGTTCAACAACAAGAGGGACGAGCATCCGAAGAAATGCAGGTAGGAGGGAAGTGTGCAAAAAGAGAGGGCACGCAAATGCGTCCAGAGAGACGTAAACACACGCGGAGCATCCTAAGCAGGCAGTTCATAGAGTGGCTCTTTTCTCCAAGTCTTGGCTGTGTTGTTCCCCGGGAACAAGCTCCAAAACAGCCACATGTGGGCCCACAAAGCAGTTGCCTTTGCAACACAATTGAGAAATCTTTTCCCCTTTGCAACCATTTCCTTTTGATACTGCAACATTTCCACTCACTCTGAGCGCCAGAGAGTTTCTGGGTTGATGAAACTTCTGCCCCCAAGACTGCTCTTTCCACCATAATTTGGGGATTTCTGGATATTTTTTGCATACAGACTTGGAGAGAGAGAGTCCTACTTTCTTGGCATTAAAAGCTATGCCAAGGAAGAGCTTCTAAGGCTCTTCTCTCGCTCCCGCCCTCATTGCAAGTGTGACTTGTGGGGATGAGAGGGAGGGCCTTCTCTGTGGTGGCCCCCCGGCTCTGGAATTTGCTCCCCAGAGATATTACGCAAGCCCCCACCCCGGCAATCTTCAGGAGGACCCTGAAAACTGGGTTATTCCAATGTAACATACCCCCTGACTAAACACTGCATAAAATATGGTTCGTGCAATTAAATCCTACCTCACCCTCGGATTTTTACATTGTCCTATCTCCCAGTGTTTCAAAATTTTATCTTTGAATTTGGCCCTGCCCAGTGTGATCATTTGTGTTTTAATGTATGATTTTATGCTGCTGTGTTGCTTATTTATATTGGTTTTGCATCTAGTGTAATTTATTTTCTGATTTGCTGTTGTGTTGTGTTTATATTGTGTTTATTGTATTGATGGGCAGGGCCTTATGTAAGCCGCCCCGAATCCCCTTGGGGGAGATGGAGGCGGGGTATAAATAAAGTTTTAATATTATTATTATTAATTATTAAAATCAGCATTTCTCAATGTGGGGATCTGGACCCCTGGGGGGGTCACGAGGGGGTGTCAGAGGGGTCACCAAAGACCATTAAAAACACAGTATTTTCTGTTGGCCATGGGGGTTCTGTGAGAGAAGTTTGGCCAAATTCTATCATTGGTGGGGTTGAGAATGCTATTTCATAGTAAATGAACTATAAATCCCAGCAACTACAACTCCCAAATGTCAAGGTCTATTTCCCCCAAATTCCACCAGTGTTCACATTTGGGCATATTGAGTATTTGTGCCGAGTTTGGTCCTGATCTATCACTATTTGAGTCCACAGTGCTCTCTGGATGTAGGTGAACTACAACTCCAAAATTCAAAGCCGATGCCCAACAAACCTTTTCAGTATTTTCTATTGATCATGGGAGTTCTGTGTGCCAAGTTTGGTTCAATTCCATCATTGATGAGATTCAGAATGCTCTTTGATTGTAGGTGAACTATAAATCCGGCCCAGCTTATCTATCCGAACGTATATTTTCTTACGAACTCACCAGTAACTTGAGATTGTCAGAGGAGGCCCTGCTCTCGATCCCGCCTGCTTCGCAAGCACGTTTGGCGGGGACGAGAGACAGGGCCTTCTCTGTGGTGGCCCCTCGGCTGTGGAACTCTCTGCCTAGGGATATTAGATCAGCCCCCTCCCTCCTGACCTTTTGAAAAAGAGTGAAAACTTGGCTGTTTGAGCAAGCTTTCGGAACCTCAGCATAAACAGACAAACTGGAATTGGAAAATGACCCAGGAACGGCTAAGACGATGGAACGGATGAGGATTTGAATGAGAGGATATAGTTTTTAAAAATTTTATTGTTCATTGTTTTTATGATTTTAAACGTAATGTAATGTTACTTTTTTGCTTTTTATCAATGTACGTATTTTATATTTGGCATTGAATTGTGCCGACTCTGTATGCCGCCTTGAGCCGCCTTCAGGCTGATATGGGTGGGATAGAAATAGCGTAAATAAATAAATAATAAATAATATTAACACTATAATGGTACAGTACAGTGGCTCTCAACCTTTCTAATGCCACAACCCCTTAATACAGTTCCTCATGTGGTGGTGAATCCCAACCATAAAATTACTTTTGTTGCTACTTCATAACTGTAATTTTGCTATTGTTATGAATCGTAATGTAAATATCTGATATGCAGGGTGTATTTTCATTCACTGGATCAATCTGGGCACAAATACCCGATACACCCAACCCAAACCTTGAATACTGGTGGGGTTAGGAGGAGTCATTTGTCATTTGGGAGTTTTTGGGATTTATAGTTCAACTACAATTAAAGAGCATCCTGAACTCTACCAATGATGGAATTGAACCAAATTTGGCACACATAACTCCCATGAACAAGAGAAAATACTGGCAGGGTTTGGTGGGCATTGACCTTGAGTTTTGGAGTTGTAGTTCACCTACATCCAGAGAGCACTGTGGACTCAAACAATGGTGGATCTGGACCAAACTTGGCACGAATACTCCATATGCCCAAATGTGAACACTGGTGGAGTTTGGGGAAAATAGACATTGACCTTTGGGATTTGTAATTACTGGGATTTATAGTTTGCGTACAATCAAAGAGTTTTCTGAACTCCACCAACAATGGAATTGGGCCAAAGTTGACACACGGAACCCCTTTGACCAACAGAAAATACTGTGTTGTTGTAGGTTTTTTCATGCTGTATAGCCATGGTCTAGAGGCATTCTCTCCTGACGTTTCGCCTGCACCTATGGCAAGCATAGATGCAGGCAAAACATCAGGAGAGAATGCCTCTAGACCATGGCCACCCAGCCTGAAAAAACCTACAACAACCCAGTGATTCCGGCCATGAAAGCCTTCGACAATACAGAAAATACTGTGTTTTCTGATGGTCTTCGGTGACCCCTCTGACGCCCCCCTCGCGATCTCCCCAGGGGACCCAACCCCCAGGTTGAGAAACACTGGTATAGTACAATATAGTGATAATTAATACTGATATAGTACTATGCTAATAATATAATATATTGCATGCATATGTATCTTGTGAGCCGCTCAGAGTCCTCTTCGGGGTGAGAAGGGTGGCATATAAATGCCATAAATAAATAAATAAATAAATAAATAAATAAATAAATAAATAAATTTCCTCCATGATGGGGCCAGAGGCAGACCTCAGGTCAAGATGCCAGGCAGAAAGGCTCAAGGGCCACATCTTGGCCAAACGTGCCCTTATTCCCGGAGTGCATTGTGACTTTGCAGCCCTTCCTTCAAGGGCTCTCCAAATGTTCCTTACTGGAACCGTATGAGGTTTGCTCCAGGGAGCCAAGGGAATGAGGCTCCGAGGCCTGATCTCTCTCTCTCGCTCGCTCCAGAATAAGTGCTCTCCAGAAATAAAGAGGCTGGCCTCTCCTCGGAGCCATCCATGGGGCGCCCTGGGAGCCAACCTCATAAGCTCCTTAATTATCCATAATTGCCTGCCCTTGGAAGGGCCTAATAAGGCATGAAGGAGAGTGCTGATGGTTTTCATCTCAAGGAGAGGTGACTATTTAGTCCCTGGAGATTGAGAGGGAACACAATTGTGCCGGAGACTCAAAAGGGGCAGCTCGTCATGAGTTAATCTTGAGAGAAAGAGCTAAACGAATCCAAACTAGAGCACAAAAGGGCGCATCCACTTTGCACATGGCTTCTGTGCACGAGTGAATGACAAAGGAGTCTCTCGTTCCTTCTTTTGTTTCTCTATGCAGCAGTCGCACAAAGAACATGATGTGGTACGGTGTCCTGGGGACAAAGGAGCTGCTCCAGAGGACCTACAAGAACCTGGAGCAGCGGGTCCAGCTGGAGGTAGCCCACCCCCAAATCCCCCAGACCGGAAGGAAAGGGGTGGTTGGGAAAGGCTCTCTTTCTCAAAGGCTTTGCAGCAGAGTCCTCTTAAGAATACAACCCTGCGTCTATTGCAAAGCACTGTTAAAAAACAATAAAGTCCATTCAACAAGGCATGATTGGGGTGATGGTTGAAAGACATCCAGCCCAGGGATTGGCAAAGAGGACTCCCATTTGGCTCTCGTGCCTTGAAGCCATCAAACTGAAGCACCATCTGATGCCGCGGTCCAAGCCTTTGGGATTTCTTGGAGAGAAAGGGGGGTCTGAGGTTTGCTCTGGGAAGGTCCTAACTCCTCTTTTTCCTCCTCCTCCTCCTCCTCAGTGTGATGGGGTGCCCATTTCTTTGCCCAGTCTGCAAGGCATTGCTGTACTGAACATTCCCAGCTATGCAGGAGGCATCAACTTCTGGGGAGGCACCAAGGAGGACAGCGTGAGTTAGGGGGGCTGGGAGTTGGGGGAGAATCTCCCTTTAGCCCAAGAATCCCTCCCTCCCTTCTTTCCTTCCTTCTTTCCTCCCTTCCTTCTTTCCTTTCCTTTTTCCCTCCTTTTTTTTCTTTCCTTCCTTCCTCCCTTCTTTCCTTCCTTTCTTCCCCCTCTCTCCCCTCCTCCTTTCTTTTCTCCCTGCTTTCCTCCTTCCTTCCTTCTCTTCTTTCTTACTTTCTTCCCTTCCACTCCCTTCCTTCTATCCTTTCCCCCTCCCTCCTTTCCTTCTTTCCTTGCTTGCTTGCGTCCTTCCTTCCTTCCTTCCTTCCTTCCTTCCTTCCTTCCTTCCTTCCTTCCTTCCTTCCTTCCTTCACTCCCTCCCTCCCCCATCCCTTCTTTCCTTCCTTCCTCCCTCCTTCCTTCTTCTTTTTCCTTCCTTCTTTCTTTCTTCCTTCCTCCTCCTTTCTCCTTCTTTCTTTCCTCTTTCTCTCTTCCCTTCCTTCTTTCCACCCTCCTCCCCTTCTTTCCTCTCCCTTCTTTCTTCCCTCCCTCCTTTTCTTTGTTCCTCCTTTTGTCCTCCCTTTCCCCTTCTTTCTTCTTCCTTTTTCTTCTTTTCTTCCCTCCCTTCTTCCTTCCTTTCTTTTTCCTCTCCCTCCTCTTCCTCCTTCTTCTCTTCCTTTCTTTCTTTCCCTCCCTGCTTTTTTTCCTCTTTCCCCCCTTACCTCTTTCCCTTCCTTCCTTCCTTCCTTCCTTCCTTCCTTCCTTCCTTCCTTCCTTCCTTCCTTCCTTCTGTCTTTCTTTCTTCTTTCTTCTCTTCTTTCCCTTCTTCCTCCCTCCCTTCTTTTCTCCCCCTCCCTCCCTCCATTCTTGCTTTCCTCCCTCCCTCCCTTCTTTCTTCCAGCCCTTCGGAGATTCCTACCCCTTCCAGAATCTCCCTGGGAATCAGTCCATGAGGCTCTGAGCTCAGGATTCAGCTTTGCTTCCAACCTCAGAAGAGGATTGGTAGTGTTGGGAATGGTGTGGTTCAGTTTCCCATGATTTCCACAGCAGATGCTTTTCAGCTTAGCCTGGAGCAGAGCTTTACAAACTGTCATGACACATAATCATGCCAGCTGCATTGTTTCGGTTTGTCATGCAAACGTAACTAGAAATCTCTGTGTCACTGTTAAATTAGCAGTAAATCATATATCTTTAAAGACACACATGAAAGATTTCCATGAGACATATTGTGCCATACTTAGCTCTATTATTACAACCTATAGATGTCTCTGTCCCTCTTTTCCGGGTGAATGGGCTTATTAACAAAAGACCCTCCTCATAAATATGCAGCAGAGTAACTTATCAGCAGCAGCGTAACACAACACCAGCAGCCCAAAATGATAAAAAGAACAAAAACACACAGTCCACAAAGTTTTCTCTTCCATAGGAGGCTTTTCTTTGTAGCAAAATAATATGGTTGCACTATTTTAAAGAGCAAGGTTTCCATAACACAAATAAAGTTCTTTATACTTCCTTCTTTGCTTCCACGCTGGGCTTCTTTCTCATACAGATAAACAGCTTCTCTCTCACAAAGCCTCTTCTCACACCGAAGTTACACAGGAGCTTCATACAGTAGCTTTACACAAACTGAAGCTTCACACACAATGGACTTCAACCTGGGGCTTCTTCTCACCAAAGCTTCTCACACCAGGCCGTCTCAAACTGAGGCCTACTAACACTGAGCCTACCTTACACTGAGGCTTTTCTCCCACTGAGGCCTACCTCACTACCCCTCTATTCTGCTTTGGTTAGACCACACCTGGAATATTGTGTCCAATTCTGGGCACCACAATTCAAGAGAGATATTGACAAGCTGGAATGTGTCCAGAGGAGGGCGACTAAAATGATCAAGGGTCTGGAGAACAAGCCCTATGAGGAGCGGCTTAAGGAGCTGGGCATGTTTAGCCTGAAAAAGAGAAGGCTGAGAGGAGACATGATAGCCATGTATAAATATGTGAGAGGAAGTCACAGGGAGGAGGGAGCAAGCTTGTTTTCTGCTGCCCTGGAGACTAGGACGCGAAACAATGGCTTCAAACTACAAGAAAGGAGATTCCATCTGAACATGAGGAAGAACTTCCTGACTGTGAGAGCCGTTCAGCAGTGGAACTCTCTGCCCCAGAGTGTGGTGGAGGCTCCTTCTTTGGAAACTTTTAAACAGAGGCTGGATGACCATCTGTCAGGGGTGATTTGAATGCAATATTCCTGCTTCTTGGCAGGGGGTTGGACTGGATGGCCCATGAGGTCTCTTCCAACTCTTTGATTCTATGATTCTATGATTCACGCTGAGGGCTCTCTCAGACTGAGGACTTTCTCCCTCTGAGGTGAACTAACACTGAGGCCTTCTCATACTGAGGCCTACTAACACACTGAGGCCCCTCTCACACACTGAGGGCTACTAAGCTACAGACCAATATGAAATGTTTGGCAAGCTCTGGTCTAGAGGGAGAATGGACATAGGGAAGCCCTTGCCATTCCCGTCTTTGAGCTGTGTTTATGTCTGTACCTCTTCCTTTCCAGAACTTTGGGGCCCCCTCGTTCGACGACAAGAAGCTGGAGGTGGTGGCCGTCTTCGGCAGCATCCAGATGGCCGTCTCGCGGGTCATTAACTTGCAGCATCACCGCATTGCCCAGGTATGACCCAAACACCTTTGCCATGCTTTCAAGGCACAGGATTCATTATCTTCCTTCTTGCATGTAAACAATTCAGCCTTCCTGAGATTTGTGTGGTTTCTGGTCTATATGGCCATGTTCTAGCAGCATTTTCTCCTGATCTAATCACCTCTCAACAAAAGTTTGCTCCAGGCACTGTCAGGCCATTATATGCTAATCAAGGTGGTCAGTTGAAACATTCACACCTAGCTCCAGCAGACAAGAGTCCTTTGTCCCATCCTGGTCATTCCACAGATATATAAACCCTTTTTCCTAGTTCCAACAGACCTCACTACCTCTGAGGATGCTTGCCATAGATGCAGGTGAAATGTCAGGAGAGAATGCCTCTAGACCATGGCCATATAGCCCGAAAAAACCTACAACAACCCATATTCTCCTGATGTTTTGCCTGCATCTGTGGATGGCATCTTCAGAGGATCTAATGGTAGTAAGCAAGTGGAGTATATATACCTGTGGAATGTCTTGGGTGGGAGAAAGAACCATTGTCTGTTAACCAAGTATAAAGGGTGCAAGCTTGATTTGCTCGTGTTGAGTGATATCCACCCACTAGCATGTGAGTAACTGAGAAGATGGCATAGTCAATAGTGAACGCATCTGCCTCGAAGTAGCCAGGCCTTTGTTCCCTTTGAATTGTTTACTGCCTGGAGACCTTCTGTGTCTGTGTGGTGTTCATTAGTCACTGTCTTCATTGCAGTGTTTTTCAGTACTGGTAGCCAGATTTTCTTCGTTTTCATGGTGTTGGAAATGGCAACCTTCGACAAATCTCCTATGCTAGTTGCTTATTATGCATACTAGCCGTTCCCTCTAAAATTATAACTGTAAATAAAGAACAACACTCAAACACAGGGGAACTCCAGACAAGAAACAATCAGGGCCAGCTAATCACCTCACAACAAAGATTTCTCCCTAAAAACTGTCAGGCTATGAAATGGTAATCAAGGTGGCCAATTGAAACATTCATACCTACCTCCAACAGACAAGAGTTCTTTCTCCCACCCTGGATCTTCCACAATTTTCCTAGTTAAAGGTTTTCCTCTGACATGAAGTCCAGTCGTGTCTGACTCTGGGGTGTGGTGCTCATCTGCATTTCTAAGTCGAAGAGCCGGCGTTGTCCGTAGACACCTCCAAGGTCATGTGGCCGGCATGACTGCATGGAGCGCCGGGGCAGCCTCCCTTGGCTGGCTCACGCTGCCCATCGGGCCCGATGGGCAGCGTGAGCCTGCCAAGGGAGGAGCAGCCCCGTGTAGCCTACTCGCGCGTAAAGCACCTCGCGAGGTGCTTTATGCATGAATAGGCCACGCGGAGCAGCTGCCCTTGGCTGGCTCACGCTGCCCATCGGGCCTGACAGATAGCATGAGCCAGCCAAGGGAGGGGCACTGTGTGTGTGGGGGGGGGCGCTCCTCCTCTGCAGGCCAGATAAGTGCCCTTGGGGGGCCGGAAGTGACCTGCGGGCCATAGTTTGGGGACCCCTGCCTTAGAATCATAGAGTTGGAAGAGACCTCATGGGCTATTCAGTCCAACCGCTTGTTAAAAAGTAGTAAAATGGCATTCAAAGCACTCCTGACAGATGGCCATCCAGCCTCTGTTTAAAAGCCTCCAAAGAAGGAGCCTCCACCACACTCTGGGGCAGAAAGTTCCACTGCTGAACAGCTCTCACAGTTAGGAAGTTCTTCCTAATGTTCAGGTGGAATCTCCTTTCTTTCCTGTAGTTTGAAGCCACTATTCCATGTCCTAGACTCCAGGGCAGCAGAAAACAAGCCTGCTCCTTCCTCCCTATGAATTCCCCTTACATATGTATACTTCTCCCTCATCATGTCTCCTCTCAACCTTCAGTATCCCGTTTGGTGGACAGCTCGTCAGTCTCTCTCTCCCACCCACTTCCTCTTGTTTCCGCTTCCCCCCTTTTCAGTGCCGGATGGTAAAGATCACAATTCGGGGCGACGAGGGGGTCCCGGTCCAAGTTGACGGGGAAGCGTGGATCCAGCCCCCAGGAATGATCAAGATCCAGCACAAGAACCGGGCCCAGATGCTGACCAGAGACAGGGTGAGGAGGTGGCACAGTCCAAAATAGAGACGGGGTGCAGTCGGTCCAGTTACACAACGGGAAGCCATAGTATGGCTGGAAAGGATTCTTGAGCTTCAAGAAACATTATCTGCAGATTTACCTTAAAAGTGTATCAAACCATAAGGAACTCCATTTCTAGATAGAAAAGACGGGGGTCTAGATTAGCTGACTAAATCTAAATAGAGATGTCATATAATTTCCATTTCTTCTAAGGCAGCGTTTCTCAACCTGGGGATCAGGACTCCTGGGGGGGGGTCACGAGGGGGCATCAGAGGGGTCGCCAAAGGCCATCAGAAAACACAATATTTTCTGTTGGTCAAGGGGTTCTGTGTGGGAAGTTTCACCCAATTTTATCATTGGTGAGGTACAGAATGCTCTTTGATTGTAAGTGAACTATAAATCCTAGCAACGACAACTTCCAAATCTCAAGGTCTGTTTTCCCCAAACTCCACCGGTGTTCACATTTGGATATATTGAGTATTCGTGTAGAGTCCAGTCCCATCATTGTTTGAGTCCACAGTGCTCTCTGGATGTAGGTGAACTACAACTCCAAAACAAAAGGACACTGCCCACCAAACCCTTCCAGTATTTTCTGTTTGTCATGGGACATGTGTGCCAAGTTTGGTTCAATTCCATCGTTGGTGGGGTTCAGAATGCTCTTTGATTGTAGGTGAACTATACATCCCAGCAACTACAACTCCCAAATGACAAAATCATAATTTTTGAGTGATGGTCACTCCTTGTGTTGTGAGACGTTTTGTTGCCAAATTTGGTGTGATTTCGTTCATTGGTTCTTTTGTTTTTAAGGTACTCATTATGCACAGAGCATTTATATAATATATATATATAATTGCATATAATATTTATAATATTATAATGTAATACAATATAATGCTATTAATAATAAAATGATATTATAATTATATATTTATATTACATGTAATATTACTAATAATATTACAATATAATGGTAAAGTACAATATAGTAATATATAATACTCTTTTTTTTCATATCAGGAGCAATTTTGCTCTGGGCCAGAATGAAGAGAGAGGGGGCCAGGGGACAGTTCCACCTTGTCTCCTGTGCTATGCTAATAATATAATATATAATATAATATATTGTATATACATATAATATTTATAATATTATAATGTAATGCAATATAATACTACTAATAATATGATATTATAATTATATATTTATATTACATGTAATATTACTAATAATATTACAATATAATTGTATAGTACAATACAGTAATATATAATACTCTTTTTTTCATGTCAGGAGCAATTTTGCTCTGGGCCAGAGTGAAGAGAGAGGGGGCCAGGGGACAGTTCCACCTTGTCTCCTGTGCTATGCAAATAATATAATATAATATATTGTATATACATATAATATTTATAATATTATAATGTAATGCAATATAATACTACTAATAATATGATCTTATAATTATATATTTATATTACATGTAATATTACTAATAATATTACAATATAATGGTATAGCACAGGGGTCTTCAAACTAAGGCCCGGGGGCCAGATACGGCCCTCCAAGGTCATTTACCTGGCCCTCGCTCAGGGTCAACTGAAGTCTGAAATGACTGGAAAGCACACAACAACAACAAAAGAAGACCCATACTTCCCATTAAAACACTAATAAGTTTATATTTGTTAAAATTGTTCTTCATTTTAATTATTGTATTTTAAGTGTTTTTGCATTACAAATAAGATATGTGGAGTGTGCATAGGAATTCATTCATTTTTTTCAAATTATAATCCGGCCCTCCAACAGTTTGAGGGACTGTGACCTGGCCCTCTGTTTAAAACGTTTGTGGACCTCTGGTATAGCACAGTATAGTAATATATAATACTGATATTGTACTATGCTAATAATATAATATTTTGTATGTATATATATCTTGTAAGCCGCCTTCGTGGTGAGAAGGGTGGCATATACATGTTGCAAATAAATAAATAAATAAATAATCCTGTTTTGGTGCCTATCTCTTTCCTCACTGAGGACTGTGGACTTGAACAGGATGTGGTTGAAGAACACCAGATTTCTCCCTGTCAAACGGGATGGTGATGTGTCTTACCTAGAATGCATCTTCAAAGAGCATATCAGAGAGGGAAAGCTAGAGGGGGGTGGGTGGGCCATGGCTGATCATTTGAATGCCTCCCTCCCTCCTTGCCCCTTGCAGGCCTTTGAGAGCACCCTCAAGTCGTGGGAGCACAAGCAGAAGGGCGAGGGCTACCGCTCCTCCTCCCGGCACCGGCTCAGCTCCCAGCAGTCCATGGAGTACCTGACAGATGAGGAGCAGGTACAGATCCAGCAGCTGGCCCAAGACACGGAGACACTCATTGACAGGTACCTCCAAACGCTACAGCTTTGTAGGTCAGGTTGGTCTCCTACTGGGCTTCCGTTCCCTCATATGCAGGGCAAGAAGAAAGGGACTGCTTGGTGTAACCATTGTGTGGGACTTGAAGGTTGGACTGGAACCTTTGAGGGCCAAATTCATAATAATAAAAATAACTAGCTTTCCCTTGCCACACGTTGCTGTGGCCCAGTCTGTTGATCTGGAAAATAAAGTAATGAGAAAGTATTGGTTTCTAATATATGTAATTCCTTTCTGCTTGTGGGTAAACAGTACTTCTTGTTTCTTTGTCAGTGTTGATGTGGAGAGTGCCTGGTTTGCCCACCCTGGAACATGCAACATATCATTGTCCTTCTTTAAGGGTCCCTTTCAAATCTATGATACTATATCTGCATGTGTGTGAATCATATCTATATCTATATCTATGGCTGGATGGCTCTTTGTCAGGAGGGCTTTGATTATGTTTTCTTGCCCTGGTGAAGGGAGTTGGACTGGATGGCCTTAAGTATTTTCTGTGGTCATGGGGGTTCTGTGTGGGAAGTTTGTTACTCGTGGGGTTCAGAATGCTCTTTGATTGTAGGTGAACTGTGAATCCCAGTGACTACAACTCCCAAATGTCAAGGTCTATTTCCACCAAACTCCATCTGTGTTCATATTTGGGCGTATTGAGTGCTTGTGCCAAGTTTGGTCCAGATCTATCATTGTTTGAGTCCACAGTGCTCTCTGGATGTAGGTGAACTACAACTCCCAAACTCAAGGTCAATGCCCACCAAACCCTTCTAGTATTTTCTGTTGGTCATGGGAGTTCTGTGTGCCAAGTTTGGTTCAATGCCATCGTTGGTGGGGTTCAGAATGCTCTTTGATTGTAGGTGAACTATAAATCCCAGCAACTACAACTCACAAATGACAAAATCATAATTTTTGAGTGATGGTCACTCCTTGTGTATGAGACGTTTTGTTGCCAAATTTGGTGTGATTTCGTTCATTGGTTCTTTTGTTTTTAAGGTACTCATTATGCACAGAGCATTTATATATATATAGATAATCATCATCATCATCATCATGTTGTTCTCCCCATGAGCCTGTTTTGGGTGCAGAGGAAGAGTGAGGATGGGCTTTGGATGACTCCAGAATCATACAGTTAGAAGAGACCCCCAAGGGTCATCCAGTCCAACCCCTTTGTTATACAGGGACATACAATCTGATTCCTCCTGACAGACAGGCATCCAGCCTCTCCAGAGAAGGAGACTCTGCCAGGCTCCCAGGCAGCAGAGGATTCTGCTATTGAAGAGCCCTTACCGTCAGGAAGTTCTTGCTAATGTTTAAGTGGGATCTCTTTTATTGCCATTTGAATGCTTCCCTTTTGGGCTTCCGCAGGATCCGTGAGGCTGCCAAGACCCACCGTGCCATTGAGCAGGAGCTGGCGCATGCCGTGAATGCCAGCTCCTTGGCACTGAGTGAAACACTGCCCAACAAGAACAGCAGCGGTGGGACCGAGGTAGTATTATTATTGTTATTATTATTATTTGAGTAAGAGGTGAATCTCCAGTGCTTTGGAGTTTAAAGTGGGGCACAATGCTCGCACGTTGATCCCTCTTCCATTGCTATAGCTGCATCCTGCGATGGGCAGCTCTGGGATATCTAGCACCCTCCCCCTCCACTGCTGGCCCCCATCCTCTTGGCTGCACCTTGCGTCCGCTTTGCCCCTTCCCTGCTAATGAGGCCCTTTCTCTCGCCTTGTGTTCCTTCCCAGCCTCTTCTGTTCCTGAGCCGGAGCTCCGCCGTGGAGCTGTCTGCCAGCGTCAAAGCCCTATACACCGAAACCCGGGCTTTTCTGGAAGGGAAACTGGTGAGTGTGGGATGCTAGGCACCAAAGGGAACTGCAAAGCCAGTCCTCATTGTGGTTTGGGAGGCTTCTGAAATGCCTCCCTCCAAGGCACAGATTCACGGTGGGCATGCCAATGGGGAGAAGTGCTATGGGGCAGAAGTGGCTCCCCAACTTCTCTTCCAAAGGCCCAGGTTTTAAGGGAAGGCACAAAGGGGTTTGAAACCCTCCTTGGTCTCTTTCTTCACAGCAGCTGGACTCCCCTCAGCAAGAGGAAGGCCTGCGCCATGCCCTGAGCGCCGTCAGCCAAGAGCTGCGAAGGCTCTCCGAAATACACTGGATGGCCCCCATCATCAGCTCCACCGAAGAGGTGGGTTTGAAGAGATTGGGGGGCCAGTGGGTCCAGGGAGAACAGCTGCCTTTGTGGCCGCATGACAAGGACCCAAAGGAAAAGATTACAAGATGTGGATTACAAGATTACAAGAGTCTGGGATATCTAGCTCAACTGCTCAATCAAGGCAGAAGGGAGGAGATGATGATGATGATGATAA